TATACATATAAATAAGATAAAAGCCCAAACAGGCACCCAACCCAGTGATGCTAGGCCTGGTGGTGGCTCTCTCTCAGAACCAGGTGGATAAAGACGGGAGGGCTAAAGGAGCTTCGTGGCCACAGCAGGGCCCACCAGCCCGGCCATGGGTGTCTGACCCAGTTGAAATAGAGACGGCCTCAGAACATGTGGGCCCCGCAGAGAGGCTGGTGCCGGAAGCCAGCTCACAACTGTGAAAGTGTGATGTCCTACAGGTCGGCTCCCAGCAGCAGTACCACGAGTACCCATGGCACGAGGGTGAGCAGCTGTGGTTGTCGCCACAAGTGCCCATGAACCAAGGGTGAGTGGCTGCCCTTCCCCGCCAAAGCCTCCTCCAGCACCCGTGCCCCCACCCTGGCAGGGAGGAGGCCTGGAGTTGCTTTCATGGGAAAACGGTTTTACCTTCTATGACTCCATGTGAAGACGGGGACCTCTGGGACACGACTCCAACATCCAAGAGCCACGCAGAGAGAAAGGGGCGTGGTGGAGGCAAAAGCGACACGGGTAAGCAAAGGTAGGCCAGGAAAGGAGGAGAGGGGGGCTGACAACCAGAGCAGCTGTAGCACCCCATTCCCTGGGGGAAGTCCACAGCATTGTGGAAAACATAGACGTGCCCTCCACCTCCAGGTGGGGGAGTGGGATGCTCAGGCTGGGAGGGCTGGCAGCTGACCCGGCAGGAATCTCATCACCCCATCAGGGCAGTTGGTGCCTACAGCTGCTGCCTAACTCTCTGCTCAGACTGTCCAGGACACGTGGTTTCTGTGAAGAGACCAGAGGACGGAGGTGAGAAGGGAGAACTCAGATGCCACGATGTGAACTCAGCAGCCGAGGTTTTGTAAACAGCAGGAAGCTAAGCCGGTGCATGCCGTGCATCACATTGGCTTTGTCTTTCCCGACGTCCCCAGTCCATGACACCAAGAAAAGTCTTATTTCCCATGCAGGCCTCATACAGAAAATTCTCACGATGATGCATTTATTATAATGATCTCAAAAAATACAGAAAGGCTAGAAAAAGCTACATGCATCTCACGAACAGCCTCGCCCGTGCTGGGTGAACCTCTTCACACGTGACCATTCCAGCAGATGACAGACTCAGCTGCCGATGTGACCAGTCCACAGGGTGCCTCTACCACTGCTTTCCTAACACGACACAGTCCATGCCCACAAATGCTGATCCGCATCGTTACTTCTAATGGGTCTATACTATCTCACTGAATTCAGTAGAAGGAAAATCTAAGCCAGGTCAGTCCTGTTAATAATTTGCCTAGGGCAACCTCCTCAGGTCCCCTCCGACGGTGGGAGCTTTTCTGTCCTCTCAATAAATCCTGCTTTTAAAAATAATCATCATAATAATAATTTGCCTACATTCACAGTCCTTTTATGAGTATCCCCTGGCCATCAACTCCCAGGGATACCTTTCCAATGTGAAGACCCCAAGGCACCAGGCTCTCTGTCCACATCCAGGTGCACAGCTGGCCCCCACCCCGGCACACAGAGCCACCTCCTATGCTGTTCTGCCCAGCCTGGCATCCACAAACCGGAGACTCGACGCTGTCTTCACACGCCCTGGCCTATGGGTTTCTTCTTTCATGAAGTCTGCTTCTGCCTTTTCCCATTTCCCTCAAAGTCAGCTATCTTCTTTATGTTGATTTGGGTAAGTCAGGAATTTTCTCTAATTATGTGAGTTACCAACAGTTCCCCAGTTCACATGTGACCTTTTGTTTTGAAGCAAAATTAACTTCCAAAGTATTAGGGGGAAAAGGGAATAATGAAACCACTCTTCCAAGCAAAGAGGAAACACAAGCGTGGAACAGTTGGGTCTAACAGGACAGAACGGCATGGCGGCCTTAAACTGAAACAGGTCGGAAGTACCCTAAACAGAAGCAGACTAAAATCTCCAGGTAGGAGAATTGTGCACTGGGTGGCAAAAGCCCCTCTATTCTGTTTGTAAGGCCACGTTCATGTGGAAGGTACAAGGACTCAATGGGTATAACTAAGCCAGATGGGTGCAGCCACCTTCAGGGCCTGCAAAACTGTTCTAGGAGAGATGAAAATCATTGCCAGTAGCAGAGCATCCAAGGCAGTCCCCTAAAGAGAAACAGAACAGAGCCAGAAACTCAGAGAGTACACCATTCCGCCGCAGGACCTCTCAGCCCCAGGTACACAGCTCAAAACTTGAGGACACCATGCTCTGAGCACATGAGAGATGTTTCTGGAAGTCGGCTGTGTAATGGACCACAAGGCTAGTCTGGACAGAGTCCAAGGGGCTGAAAGTATAAAAAGGATGTTCTCGGACTTCAATACAATTTAGCACAAAAGATAAGTAGAAATGCCATACATTTGATCATTAGCAAATACACTTTTAGATAATGCTTAGAACTAAATGGTGATGAAAATACAACCTACCAAAGTTAGGGGGAATGCGGCTAACACAGAGGTCAGAGAGGAATCTGTAGCATTAGATTCATATGAAAGCAAAAAAGTTGAGAATTAAGAAAATAAGTTATCCACCTCAGGAAGTTAGGAAAACAATAGCAAAATAAACAGCAAGAACATAGAAACTGAACAGAGCAGAAATTACACAGAAACCAAAAGTCCAAGGGTATATCATAAGCTGGAGGTCACACAGAAACACCAGCAAAAGTGACAAAACTCTGTGAGACTTGGCCAGGGAAGACAAAGGCATGCATAACCATTAGAAAGGGAGAGGAACATCACTACAGACACTAGAGACACTATGAAGATCTCAAGAGAATGTTCTAAATGTCTTCATGCCAGGAATTTTGAAAATTTGGATAAAATAGTCCAAGTTTCAGAAAAAGATGCAACCTACAAAAGAACCCTGGATGCCCTGTGACTCCCAAAGGAGATTAAATCTCTAGTTGCCAATGTTCCCATAACGATCCCAGGCCCAATGACTTTCCTGCGAGTTCCACCTACAAGAAACAGAAATCCCAATCTTATACCTGATCTTTCAGAGAACGGAAAACATGAAACAATTCCCAGCTCAGCAGGAGCACAGCCCTGATGCTAAGACCTGAGGACGGTATTTAGGGGGGAACTAAAAGCAAGCCTTGTTCCTACACTCAGGCACCCCCATTATCCCCCACCACATAAGTGGGGACCACACCAAGAGCAATCAGGCCTGCTTGGAACAGCCTCGAGGATCTGCCTTCTGGAGAGCCAGGATCATTCACTACCGTCAACATATTTAAAGGGAGAAAGCACAGCATCCCAAAAGACAAAGAAAAAGCATTGGGTAAAACTCAGCGCCCATATGCATTCACAGTCACAACAGAGGAGAGACAGAAGGGCCCTTATGCCACCCTCACACTCACCCATGGCTCCCAGGGCTGGCTCTGCCCTGGGCTCCAAGCTCTCCCCACCCAAGCCCCAGCCTTCCCCTCCCACTCCAGCCTCCCTGCGGCTGCCTTTCCAGTCCTTGCTTACTTTTTGTGTGCCCACTTTCAATCCCCTGCCAGGGTCTTTTTCCCTGGCTGGATCCTCAGGGCCACAGCTCAGAGCCAGGTCAAATCCAAGTGGCACCTGTTCCCCGGCCATGTCCCCTTCTGCCCTGTTGCCTGGCCACTCCAAGAGGGGAGCTTAGATGCTTCCTGACCCACCCCTGACCCAGGAGACTATCTGGATCCCCGCACCTCAGACACATCCCCCCACCTCCATTCCTGAGCCAGGAGACCCCTGGGGCCCCCCACCTCAGACCCCTCCCCCCCCACCCCC